GTTGGAGATTCATGATCCTTGAGGTCCCTTCCAACCCTGGCAATTCTGTGATTCTGTGATTCTGTGACTTTGCTTCATGGGTTACTGCCATTTTGAATTGACTTCCTTAGGCATTTTTCTTGGGAAATTTGTTGCAGCTGTGACAGTAAAGACCTGAGTGAGCTTTATGCAAATTGTTGATTTCTACCACATTAGTTAATTGTTTCCCAAATTTGCATTTCTAATCAGTGAGATGCCAAAAACACCTGTACTCTCTAAGTGTTGCACTGTTTCGTATTTCTTTTGATTATGCTTACAGGAACAATACCAGAAAGGCAAGCATTTATAAACAACATGTAACTCCTACAACTTAATTATAAATAATATTTTTCTTTATAAAATTATGTCCAGCAGCAGTGGCAGGGAAAAGGTATCCTTGCTCATCAGCCAATAGTTATTGAACTGATACCTTCCTGAATAGCACTGATTTGGTTGCACAAAATAGACGTGTTGTTGTAACCTCTCTATCACAGCCCAGGCAGTGTTACATTTAGAGGCCATATACTGATTTTTCCATGCTGAATCCCTAAAGATTTTGAACATTTTGGTTGAGAAAAGAGTAGTCTTGGGCTGGACATGGCTCAGGGCTAACAGTACAAAGGAAAACAACCTCTTTTTGTGCCATTAACCAAGGAGGTGGGTGCAATCACCCTAGCTCGTCTGTGAGTCATCTGAGGAAGGTTCATTTACTAACCAATGGCAAACCTTCTACACTTTCAGCCCTTCATTATCATTTTATTATCGCAGGAATGACAGTAAAAGAAGATAAGTGGCTTTTTTCCCTCTCATTTAATACCAAGCTTTCCTTTGTGGAGCTGTTTTGTTTCCCTCTGGCACTGACAGTCTTCTAAACAGCAGTTGATTCTCATATGAAACAATTGCAGTTAATGTGGATAATTGTTGTAGTGATGGCTTTTACTTTTTGATACAACAATTATCCAATCTGTCCTTTTTTTTTCTTTTTTTTTCTTTTTTTTCCTGAGTCATGCAGTGTTGGTGAAATCAAGTTGGCACTGGACTGAGCTCTCTGTAGACTGCTTGGTACAGAAAGGCCAAATCTGAGCATCTCTACTCTTTCTCAAATGTTGAGCAGCCTAGAACTGAAAGTCTTCTATGCCTCAGTCCTTGTGCCTTGGGTTGTACCCAAGGGTTTCCTATACCCATATCACTGTAGCACCTGCAGCAGTGCCACATATATGATGAGGAGAAGGTTTTGGTCCTTTGACTATTTTGGTACTTTTGAAGTTCTGTTTCTAGAAAGTCCTGTGAGGTTTTACAGGACGTATAGTTTTCCAACTCAATTCTAAGCACTTCAAACTGAAGGTATAATGGTTTTTGTTTGTATAGGACTGCAGTAAATATGGGGGATATGCAGATATCCCAAACAGCTTTTGGGAGTGGTGAGTTTTGAGGGTTTGTGCTGACTACTTCAGAAACACATAAATGTATTTTCCTTCCACCTTCTTGAAAAAATACGCTGACAAAGCTATGGAAAATTTCATTTCCCTGGAACCTTTAAGGTTCTGAAAGCCTGATAAAATTTATTTCCTTGGAAAAAGACTTCTGAAATAATAATTTCACATCAAAACCAACCTGATGCTACAAACATTTCATTTCATAGCATAATGGTAAGGAACATACCTGCTATACAAAAGGTAGGGATAAATCCATATAGAGAGAATAAATAGATGGACAACACTGAAACCTTTAATCTGTGTTATGTAGCTCTGTGTAGTTGCATACTGGAACCGGAATAAAAGTACAGCTGAGAGTTTGGGATGGAAAAAAAAAATCACTGACCAATAAACAATAGAAACAGAGACGTGCCAGAACTCAGGACTTTTCTCCAAATTCCAGTTTCTCCAAATGAAAAACTTCTGGCTCAGGCTCAACCTAGATTTAAGACAGTTTACTCTTATCTTTTCCTTTTTCAGATGGCAGTCGTCACAAACTAGCTTTGTGCCTTAACTTCAAAGCATGAATTTAATTTCAATTCCAGACTTATTTGTTTTATTGACTCATTTTCAACTCTTCCTTGACACTTTGATATGGAGATACTAATTTGTTGCTCACATTGGTCTGTAAGATTTAGAAGGAGTCAGTTGTGCCTATAAGGCTGATTATATAATCCCTGAAGGACTAAATGTGAACAGTGCTGTGCTACAGCTAGTTAGATGTGGAGCACTCTGCTTGAAGAGTTATGTGCACATAGCATGCCAGTTCAGTAGATATTCTTATGAGAAAGGTGGTCTTATGATCAGGCTCTATTTATTGAGTTAATTGGGATTTTAAGAGTAAAAAAAATGTATTCCTGCATAGAAAACCCAATGTTTTTTTATTTACGTTTATAGGGATCATTCACTCCAATGTCCAGAATCCATCAACCTCATTCCAAGGCTATAATCTTGCCTGCCATGTTCCACCAATGGTTTGTTTTTATGGTCATGTAATAAATGATAGAGGCTTGCAGTTAACATAGTGATGGTCAGATACTCAGCAGTCACTGTAGCCTGTTTCCAGCAGTATCTTCTCTGGTAAGGCCCCTAATTAGAGCATTGTCTTTGGTCCCTACTGCAGAGCATGCTGCTGGTACAGGAAAGGTTGCACTGGGAGGTGCAAACAGCAGACTGGGACCAAGGGAGCGTTAGGGATTGGCACACTGCAAATAGTCATGATATCCACCTCTCTGTGCATGCCATGCTTTTTCTCCTAACAAGTCACATCAGCATTCGCCCTTGTTCTTATCACTCTGTCACTTAGGAAGTATTTTATCAGTATATGGTTTTGTGTGACACCATGTATTACAGCAAGCACAATACAAAGAGCTCTGTACCAAGGAGCAGTTCAGCTCAGAAAGCTCATTTCATTTCTCAATGTGATTGATACCCATCATCAATTTGGACACTGCGTACCTGCTCTCAAGAATGAGTGACCTACCCCTGTGAAGTGTTTGGCCACTCTCACAGAGCCTCCTCCCATCCTTGCTGCACAAGGTGCCACACCAGGTGATGCTGGGAGGCTGCAGCTACACACAGAGGTGTGAGCCAGGCTGCTGGAACTCACACCAGCTCACAGAGGATCATTGTTGCAAAGGTGAGTGAGGTCAGACTTGACCAAGATCATGGCCAAACACAGTGATCAAAGGTTCACAGTGAGTCCTGCTGGCCTGGCCTCTTCTCGCAGTGAAGGAAACTTTCAGTGTTTTCAGCCTCCAACCTAATGAACTAGTTATGTATAGGTATGCACTATGCATTATGTGCAAATGCTTAGAAATTGGCTTGCATCAAAATCCGATTTCTCAACAGTCCAGACATCATTAGAAGAAAAGGAGGTGCAGAAAGACCTGGCACTAAATTGGGGACGAAATACTACAGCCGGACAATCTTCTCTGTGCTGAGCCAGAACAAGCTCCAAATGTCTGTGGGCCATGAACATAAACCCCCACGGGTCTTTCAGAAGGGAGAATGCAGGCAAAAATAGCTGAACCAAACTCTTCCTGTTTGGTTGGGTTGTATCCTGGGGAAAGCATAAGAGCAGTAGTAATGCTTTCACGACTCTTGCATATTGAATCTTTGAACATGAATTGCTGAAACCACAGTATGTAAAAGGAAGAAGTGCTAGTGCTTGGCCAAGCTATGCCCCATCATTGTGAAAGCCTTTGCTAACTCCATTGAGGTTGGGCTTTCACGCTGATATTTTCATTTTGTGCCTTATTAAAACTGTGTTTACTTGGTTTGAGTCTTCGCTTACAGTTCAGGGGTCTCTCACCCAAATTCAGTATAATAATTCCAGGAATATTTGATTGGCAGCAAACACTGGGTATTTACATTTCAGACGCTGTTGGTCTTATTTTGTTGGTGGGGACATCAAGGCCATCTGGTGGGATGCAGAGTTCGTTTCTCCCCTTAAATAAGGCTGTTTTCCGTGAAGTGCTTTGTTAGAGAAATCTCTGAGATGCTATCTGGAGAGCTTGTTACAAACAGATGATGCGTTACAATATTTTACTGTATTACAACACTGATATGTATTTTGTAGAGCCTTGGAGAATGCATGCATTTAGTTATTAGGATAGAAGGAAATTACAGAGGATGAAGAAGCTGTGTCGAGTCAGAAGTGGTGGTTTTTTGTAAGCACATGTAACAACCAGGTAAAATCTTTCATATCCGCTATTCATTTTATATTTTCTTCATTTCTCATTTCCTGTTTCTTTTTGCCTGAAAGCTGGTATAACTACCGCAACATAACATCAGACTGCCAAAAAGCAATTAAGGTGTTCGGGAGAATTTGATTGTTTGCTTCCTTACAAAATTCCTCACGGAGTCGCGCATCAAAACAAGATGACCTTGTTTCCTCAAGTGTACATGATGTGTTTGTGTGCCTGCTTGGCCGTCTGATGATATATCTCACTCTGCTCCTTATAACTTTAAAATCCATTAGCCAACTCTGACAAAATACAGCAGACTGGATGCAATTTTCAGAGATGTTGCATTCCTGCGAGTTTTATGAAAAAGGGCAGCTGGGGAAGAAAGAGAGAGCTGACCTTAACATGGCCCTAATGAAAGAAAGGCTCAACAAGCCAAGGGAAGCCACTGGGGAAGCAAGAATGCCCTTAGGTTGGGAAATCTCTCTTAATGCTTAGGCTTTATTAGATGTGGAATGAAACTGCACAGCCCTGCCCTGGAATACAGGCGTTATTCAAGCAGCTGCTTGTGAAGCTGTCAATTTTTGAGTCCCTGCCATAGATTATCCACCCTGGAGTTGTTGGTGCTTTTGGTTGTCTTTGGTATGTTGTGTGCTGGTGAGATGGTAACCAAAAGTGGTGGCTGTAGTGCAGGCATGGTGTTACAGGTCCCATAAGAAAAAGAGTCAAGGAAGTCCCACTGAAATACTGAGTTTGTCCAGAGGCCAAGAGTGCAGTAAATCTGTGTTCTTGGCTATGCTACCTGCTGTTCAGTAGTATTTAATAAGCAATCTGCATCCAAGTAGTTGATACATTTGGAAGTTGTTCACTCATTTGGCTGTATGTCATGCCAGAGCTCTACTTATCTGTACTGTTGCTTGTAATAAGTAAGAAAATCAGGGTTAGGCAATGTCTGTAATCAAAAATTGTAGGAAGATTTTCACATTACTGTGAAAGATGAACACTAGTTACAAGTAAAGGTTTGCTGCAAGACAGGCAAGGATTTTCATCACAAAATAATGCCTTTGTTGATCTGTGTGCTTTACCTTTGTAGCTGTTGCTCTGGTCCTACAAGCAGAGAGCCAATAGGACAGCAATGACCCTCAGCATTTCTGTTTCCAGGACTGGAAACATTTATGTGTGGATGTGTTTGTATTTTAAAATTCTTAGCTTTTCCTTTAAACTTAGCAGATCAATCAAAGCTCTATATTTCTTTGCAAAGGAAAGAAATGGAAATTCTCATTAATTTCCATTCCCCACATGTAGCTTATTGTATTATACTGAAAATCTCATCTGACGAATCCTTTCATAATGTAATAAGTTGCAGAAAAGCAAAAGGGACCTTTTACTCCATGTAGGTTTGGTCTTTCAGGGGGTCTGGCTGATACCATTAGTCTGTTGGTTGCAGCAAGGGCTTCTTTGCTGACCTAGGTGCAGTAATGTGATTCTTCACAGTGCACAAACACAACATGGTTAGCACTGACTCTAAGCTGGGGCAGTCCTACGTTGGGCATGGAGAATTTTCTTCACAGCTTTTTGGCTGTTAGAGCCTAAAAAAAAATCCATCTGCTATTGGTTGCTGTCACTGACCAGACAGTGACACAATGGTGTGTGTGTCTGTGGTGGTGCTTTTCTTTGGGATGATAAGGCAGTTCTAATTCAAGGTAGGGCAGTGTTTATTAACAGAAATAATTACTGATGAAAAAGAAAGATTAGCTGAGAGAGAATTCCAACCTGCATAGCCTCATCTTATCGTTTAGTCTTCTTTTCCTTCATTTTTTCTGCTCCGAGAGTAAAAACTTTAATGTAAGCCCTACATTTTTGCATGCATGCATATTCAGGTTTGTAAATGAAAGGAGAGTGACAGTTTTGCATTTAGTAACTTCACACCCACACACCTCTCTTCTTTCTGATGCTGACACTTCAGCCTTTGAAACAGCTCCCAGGAGCAGTCCTTGGATGCAGACAAGTGAGATCTAAGGAGGGAACCTAGATCTGCTCCTGCTTGCACATGGCACCTGGAAAAGGGCTTTGAAAAAGGGCTCTTTTCTGGATGAGTAGCTTAGAAATTGTTTCTCATTAACTTGGGAGAAATCCTACAGCCAGTTTAGAGAAGAAACTGTGTGAAGTTTTCCACAGGCTTGTTAAGACTGGGGGAAGGAGCTAAAATACCATAGCAGCAACCTTGGGGGTGTGCTGTGGATCTCCTCCTGCTGGCTTTGGTGGGACTCCAGGAGGGCTCTGCAGATGGCTGGGCTCCTGCTGCCTTTTGTCTAGCAGCTTCTGCAGGAGCCAGGCGGATCCCTGCTGTGTGCTGTGGCTATCCCTACGTCCTGCCCCACTCCTCTCCTTTTGCAGAGGGGAGCAAAGCAGGAGCTCCCACCCCCAGGCCGGTTTCTTTGCCACGTTGGTACCAGGGAAGGTACTTAATTTGTCCTAGTCCACTTTTATCAGTCTTTTGTTACATTGCTTTATTACCTTTCTCTTCTGGTTTTGGTTTGTTGGGTTTTTTTTTCCCCAATAGAGACGGTGGATTTCCTTCCTATTGTCCCCTCCCTCCTGTTCTAGGCTCAAAGTGTGCCAGAGCCCATGATGAGGGTCTGTATATAAAAACAACAGAACACACTTCACATATTGGAAGAAAAGGAGTGGTTTTCAACCCTTGTTCTCTCACTTGCTTCAGAGGACACCCTGGCATGGAAGAGCTTTTCCAAACACTCTACACAAAATATTACAAAAGAAAACCACTTTCAGTATGGAGTCAGGGTGGCAGCTATATATTCACAGGTACTCAGCTCAAATCTATATAATTTAAAATTACCTTAGCTTGAAATTCTGTGTGGTGTAAGCCCTAATGATCCTCAGCCGTTCTCAGCAGAGCACACCATTTCCTGAGCTCTGTTTAAATCAGCATCAGTGCGTGTTTGCCTCTGGGAAATGACAGTCCTCTCCTCCCAGGTAAAAGGATGTGCTCAAATTGCCTTTGCAAAGCCTTCAGATGAACTGCTTAGGAAATGTGATCGTGAAAAAGAAACGGTATCATTATTCAAAAGCCAGCTTGTTAGAGAAAATATTGGAAAATGGGCAAAATTGTGCTACTTGCTAGCAAAGGTGTATCAGCTTTAAAAGTCTGAAGTCTGACCGGGCACTGTGCATCATTAGGTTTTGTATTTTCTTTAAGGGGCCAAAAAATGAGCCATGGAAAAATCCACAGATAAAAGTAAGGCTGGAAACAGAGCAGAGAATTGCTGAAGGGGAAAGGCAGGCAGTGGGAGAGGGGGGAGAGAGAAGGAATAAAGATAGCAGCCAGTATAGGGAAAGAAAGCAAGCAGAATAATATAAAATATGACATAGGACAAGTATATTAAAGATCATACAGCTATCCATCACCTCTGAGATCAGATTATTAACCAACTATCACTGGGCAAAGAGGGCTTTTCTTCACATAACCTGTTAAACAGGAAAAGAAGTGTCGAGGGAATTAATGAGCGGTGGGGAAAGTTTGTGTCCTGGAAGTCTGATGCAGAGTCTGCACAGGCATGCCAGGTGAACGCAGACATCAGTAATGGGAATTAAATAGGACCAGGTTTCCTGTCTGCTTTCTTCAGGGGTTTCAAATGTTCAGTAATTTTCCCCCGAGGAAATGTATTTTCTCCAGAATATGCAGATTCTTTTCCTGTGTGTGTGTATGATTCTCCCCAGGGTCGGCACTTTTGTTCAGGAAATTTGAAGCAATTTTTAATCTCAAACTGCAGCAACAAGACTGACGCACAGTTTTCTCCCATCTAAGTTATCTGCAAATCTCCTATCTGATTTTTTGGTGATTAATTCAGTTGTTTACTTGAAAATGAGTTGTTCATTGTGAAAGAGAGAATTCATTTCAATATAAAACCGCTAGGATTTGACTTCAGTGGCAGAATTACCCCAAAAGAGACATTTGCACCGTTCTTTGCAGCTCAGTGGGAGAGCCAAAGAGGATCTGTTTGAACTCTCAGTGGGGTTTTGTTACCCATTTATGCTCTGCTCTCACGGCAGATAGGCTGAGGGCATTGCACCGG